GCCTGATTTAAATGTCACACCTGAACACTCACATCCTTTTAATTATGTTTGAAATTAATAAACATTGCTCAACATCATGAAAATTAAACCTTATTTTCAATAAGCAATCCTGAAAAATATTTGGGGGTGCTTAACTTTTTTCCAGGTGTATATATATAAACATTAAAAGTGCAATAAAAAATACGTAAAGGTACCAATACTGAAAAGAAAAACATAGTTTTTAATAATTCGATCATTATTACATTTGATGGGGATCTACCCCCCCCCCCCATAGCTTTCCTAATGTCATCCTGTATCACTGTGTCAAGTTGTGCTGATTTGGTAGTTTTTCCGAAATTAGATATGAAATGAGACGGGAGGAGGTCAAGCCCCCCCCCCCTCATAACCTTCCAAGTGTTATCCTGTGTCACTGTGTCAATTATAGTGCCGATTGATCAAGAAATGTGGAAACATATAAGGAACAGATACACAGACATGTTCACGTTTAAATATATATATATATATATATATATATATGTGTGTGTGTATCAGCACTGCTGTTCCTTTGGCCCCGTCATCGAGGTGGAGAGGGGGGCAAGTTGCGTGGGCAACAGCCTGTCCCCCATATCAGAATGCCCAGGCTTACATCTGTCCATATAACAATTGACAGATGCTCATCCATGGTCAAACTTGGCCGAAGGAGGCCTACTATGTGTATAGAAGAAAATAAATTAACCAGGATCCTCTTACTAGGAAGTAGATAAAATATTCTAACATCTTGAAGCCTTAGAAATAATCAAAGGGTCGAGAAACAATCACGTTTTATAGACTAAAATATTTCAACATGTTTTGTTAACTTACTTTGGCACGCGCTTCTCTTGAAGCTTCAGCTTCTGCAGCCATTGCTCGTTGTAGCTGCACCGGAAGTCGCACATCTTTCCTGTATATAAATGTAAATAGGACATATTTTATGAATAAAGTACTGGATACACACATGGATATTAACAATCATCAGCGTGTCGAATAAACAACCTGTTTATTTCTCGATGAAATAATTTGTAACTTTGGATATTTTAGCTTTATGTTATTGCTGCTGCCATCTAGTATCCACAATTGTTAGTACTTTAAAAGTATATACAAAGAAGTAAATTTTTGCCATGTAATTGTTATATCTGCATGTTTAAACATTCAATAAAATTAGAATTACTCACATTTCCACTCTTTCAACTTTTACTCCCCAGGGGTCAGTACCTTCGTCCAGACTAGTCTGCATTACGTGACTAATACTCTCTCTTTCGGAAAGAATGTCAGACAAATTCTTTGTTCCCAAAACATTTCTAAGCGTAGTCGCCGCTAGGAGGCGTGTGGAACGACCATAATCTTCAACATTTGTGACAGAAATAGTAGCATTACTAATACGATAGTAGACAACAGCATCAACAGCTACTGTAACCGAGTCCTTCGACAAAATCTGCACACACACAGGGAAAAAAATCCCAAATACATGTAATAAATATAAAGCATAAAATACTGGAAAACAGAATAAAATTCTAAACCAAATATTACAATTCACTGACCTGCTAATTTACAATATTCCTTACTACATTTTAATTAAATGGTGATTACAATTCATAGATTTTATAAAAATGTGGCGATAGGCGAAGCATTATATCTAAAAAAAAAATTTCGATGAAAGTTTATAAAGAAAAGGAATCTTGAAGTCGATTCTTCTTTTCAAATGTTTTTTTTTTTTTTTAAATAACTAAATACTTCAAG